GAAGACTTTAGACTTCATCTGTAAAGTGAGTGACAATTACTGTAACCTGGACTTTGAAATGGGAGTTTTGAAACATCTCTCACAGTACAGTGAACACCTCTACCCCACACACTGATTCGAAAATACTTTTGTACACCTACTGTGCGCTTGCCTCTGTGATCAACCTTGCTTTCAGAATTGGGAACAACAGACAGGGCTGCTCATGGTGCAGTGGGGAAGGCAGACGTGAACAAGTGAACAGATGCAAGTAAATACACCCTCCTAGAATGCTGTGGGTCACAACGAGAGCTCGCTGCATTTCTCTAATGCGGTGAATTGTGCATGACAAGGAAGACTGTTACTGGCATCCATATTACAAGTCCCCGCAGTTAACCTTAACCTTTTATAAGGATTCCCATTCAGGGCATTGATTTTGTTGTGCGGAGATTCTTGGAAGGTATGAGTTACCATTTGACAGCTAAGTATACTTAGAAACTAACAAAAAAGAAACGGCATCAGTTCTTTTGATCCTTGGACAGAAGAGATGCCATAAGGAAGAATGACTTTAACCCATTCGAAAGAAGTACCAAGTAATGGATGATCAGAAACAAACAAACAAAAAAACAAACAAGGAAACCTGGGCTTTTTGACTGAATATGTATCCTCCAAATGCTTTTCTGTGAAGTCAATGTTTTTCTAATTAGGCTTAAAAATGGGAAATTTTCTTGCAAAATTGATTTTCTATTAAGGCACTAAAGCAGTTTCTCTTCCCTTCTGCTTGGGTACTAATTAAATTATGTCCCAACTTGTTTTAATTCAGCAATCAATTTTTCCTCCATTTGTACTAGATCACAGAATCTCATTTAAAAATCGCTCTTTAATGAATTCTGCACAAAGGAGAGGTGATGGATGCTCTCTGATGGAGACAATAGTACTGGTCGAGTCAGGAGACAGACTCGAAAAAACAAGGGATTCGGTTGTATTCTGGTGGTATATTTCTTAGGCTGCTTTGAGAGAGAAGAAATAGTAGTGAAAGGCATGGGGGTGAAAACTTAGGAACAAAATGCTAAGAGAAGAAGGGTCTAAATGCTTCGAAGATCTACTTGACACTGGGGCACAGGACCGAGACACTTTCTACAATGATCATAAATAAAATTTATTAAAAGAAGATAGAATCTTAGTTATTGATTGTAACATCTGAAGGAATTAAGTGAGAATACTGAGTGGATTGGCTTCAGGTTTGATTTGTGGGGAGCATAAATAAATATTTCTTGATTCCGATGAAGAAAATTTCAAAAATCCACCAGGCAGACTAAGGCTGCACATATTAGAAGCCTTTTGCAAATGGAAGAACTGTATATGCTGATAATAAAGGATGCTCTTTGAAGCTTTCCCATGAAGAAGGGGAAAATTAAGAAATAAGATATCTAACCATCTCTCAAAACTCAAAGGATTTCTGTTTTAAAGAAACAGGACGGATAGAGAGATGTAGCTGGCTTGTGAGCTCAGGATCCATCTTCATCTCTTGGGAGGTGGAAGGGGAGAGGGTGACCAGCCGTGCAACATAAGAAAAGTCAAATGAACCTGAACTAGGCAGGTGGACTTGACTGTGTTAATTAGAGAAGCGTTATCAAGTCAGAAGGGAAACCTCAGCAGAGAGGTTTTCACGAGGGACTAGAATCTAACAATGGGAGTTGTGTGTTTGCTGGGGTGCTTCTGGATAATTTATCTCTTCAACACCCTCTGTATTTTAAGCATGTGCTCAGTAACTTTCAGATAAGGCTGCTTCCCATTTTTTCCCCAAATTGCTTGCATATTAATCACTAAAATAACACGTAATTCTTTACCTGACATGATTAACACATAATTCTTTAACTTACATAATTGCTTCATCATCTTATGACTTTTATATATTTTAACTTTCAACAACAAAGCCCTGCCCTGTTCTATCACAGACCCCAGGGTTGGATCTGAGTGGGCTGGATTTAACCCGTATGAATCCAAGTCTCCCTGAACAGACTACTGTGATAAGTGGTTCAGTATTTAGATTCCAGAGCTGTTTCTTGAATGCCTTTTTCTCAGTTTCTTTGGTACGTTTCGCTCATTATGACATTAAAAATAAGATTTAACATTTTAGAGGAAAGCAAAACAAAAATCCTCAACAAAATTGCTCATATAAAGAGGAAGAACATTTCTTTAAAATCATGAGAACTAAAGTCAATCTAAGACTTCAGATGATTTGTACAGCTATAATTTTCTCCAGTTAATGAACAGTGGCATGAAAAAAGAGCACAGATCAGTGAGAATAAGTAATTCTTTAGATTTAAATGTGACCGGAATCTTACTTTATCTATTATGAGAAAGTTAGTATCTGAATCTAGTCATCCGGAGATACTTTGTAAGCTAGACATCTGTTTCATGAGATTTCCTACATCACAAGAAAAGGCGGCAGTCACTCAGTTGAACACCAAAAATTATTATTCCCAAGTAGATCTCAAAGAGGAAAGATTCCAGAGTTTAAAAATGTAGTTAAAATGTAGTCTCATTAAAAACTTCTACAGACGTTCAGTAAGTACAACGGTGGTGAGAAAAAGAATAGAGAAATACAGAAAGAGGAAAAAGAGCAGAACAGAGAGGGAGACGAATGCACAAGAAAGAAAAAACAAAAAAATAGATTGGTCAAGAAGAGAGACTGGGTGACCTCTTGCTAATGGGACAGACACACATGGCAGCTTCCATGCTAGGCATTTGGTACACTATCCTACTTAATCTGTAGGATAAGGGGTAGGTCATGTTAGAGCACTCTCTAGGTGAAAAAAAAACCTCTGAATTTTAGAGAGCGTAAGTGATTTGTCCAAGGTCTCTGACTTAGTCAATGGATCAGTCAGGACTGAAACCCAGGAGTGTCGGATCTTAAAGGTAAGATGTTTCCCAGAAACCAGTCTCGCTGGCAATGAGCAAGGCAAAGATGGGGGTGAGGGAGGAACATGAGACAGCACTAAGCCCCATGAAAGCAGGAGCAGTGTCCATTCTCACCACTTTCTTTCTTTTTTTTTAACACCTGGCACAATTCCAGGAATATGGCACCATATATGAAATATTTGCATACTGAATCTTTGTGAATGAGTTGAGTGACAAAGATCTTAGATAGGGAGAGAAGACACGGAAGAAGAAAGAAACAGAAGAAAGAAAGAGAGCAAGGCAGGGGGTGAGAACAAAAATGTGATTTTATTTTTGAGGGGGGAGGGCAGTCTACCTAAACTGTTAGATTCTAGAAAGTCAAATCTGTCCACTTAGTGTCAAGTCTCAGACTCTGCCCATAGAGGAAACTACCCAATGGCTTGCATTTCCTAACTCAGGCAAAAATGTTTACCAACTTTGTAGAAACCCAGCAGGGTGTGGTAGTGGAATCCATGCAACTTGATAGTGACCAGCTAGTAGAGGCGAGGGATGTGAGCCATGGACCCTGGACAGGTGGGCAGTGTGAGGCACAAGTCAGCCATGTCTGGATACTCAACCAAAAAGCCAACCAATAATCAGTCAGTTAACAAAGACCCATCAGTTAATAAATACCTGTTATGGCCCCACTTTAAGCCCCCGCCCCCAGCCACAAGGAATTTACACGGAGTCAGATACTTCTATAAAAGATAAAAATTCAATGAAACAGCTCACGACTTTGTTAAATGATTAGAAGCATGGTGATCAAATGATTAAACATTTCTTTTCATACAGATGTTGGATTTAATATTGATATTACTTACTCACAGGGAAGAACTAGTCATAAAAGTCATAAAATTTAAAAACTCAATATCTTATTCTTAGGTGGTTCTATCCACAGAGAGGCTAAATCTATTTCCCTACCGAAGAATCTAATTTTGAGTAACCTATTTGGTTAAGTAATGGATATTTCCTTCCCACAAAAAAAGCAGAGCTTAACTCAAATAATTCTGCTTCCTTTTGTACAACCAAGTCATAACTGTACAGCACTAGTAAAATTCAAGTTCAGGGCAGTAATAAACATATCTGTTCTAAAACCTCACTTCGTAGTAATGGCCACAGGGAACCTTACGTTTCTCAGGTAATGGTCTTGGTTGAGGTTCTCTGCAGTCTCAGGCTACTACTCTCTGATTTCCCTGGTGGCCCAAAGTGACCACACCTGACAGAATCCTAGGGCTCTAGGAATCTTAAATGATGGAGGCTGTTGGCAAATTCTTGGGTCATTAAAAACCCATGTCAGGACTTAAAAAAAAATAAAGGCTGGAAAAGGAGTTGCTAATTTTAGGGATTCAGAGAAACTAAGAGGAGTTTGCTTTTCTGGTATCGGCCTGTTGATACATAAGCACAGAAAAACGCCAGTGTCAGGCTGGCATGGAATAATCAAATAGAATTCGTTATGATGTAGTTTAGATGCACTAAGGATATTGAACATCCCCTTTTAAAATCACAGAAAAACCCTGGGCTAAACTACTATAACTGGGGAAAAACAATGTGAAGAGGACTATAAAAATGTGAGTCATTAAAAACAAATAGATTTCAGATCAGCCTTTGTGAATTTCATTTGATGTCTCACCCATCATGCTCTTGTATCTTTAGCAGAAACAATGAACTATCTGTGATATGCAGAAATAATCAAGGAAAAAAATGCCATTTCATTTCTATTTAAGAGCTACATAACCCATGTAGAAAACATAACTTTTTTTTTTGTGGAAAAATACAAAAAATAAGATGACTTTTCACTGTCCATTTAAAGAAGTAGAGGGGTGTGTGTGTGTGTGTGCGCGCGCATCTCTCCAAGGAATTATCTATAGACCTGCACAGGTCTCTCTCTTTTCTTTCAAACAAGACCCAGAAGACCTGTGTACTTTTACCAAGGTTACACAGTCCCCTAACCCTCTCTGGCCAGCTGTCAGCCGCTGGAGGCCCAGTCATCCTTTGTAAAGAGCATCTCTCAGTAGGTTATTATGTGGGTAGTAACTGGCGAGTACAGCTTGTCATATTGGAAATGGTAGCAATTCTCTTACCTCCTCCTTCTCTGCACTTTGCAGATCACGCCATTCCTCGGTTACGTGACCGAAATCCACTGTGTTCATGGGGACTTTAAATTCCCCAATGATGTCATGCTTGGAGAAACGATCAAAATCATACACGGCCATCACCAGAGTCTTGCCACCCAGTTCCGAGTATGGCACCTGTATAGAAAGAGGAGGATAACATGTCTGGTCACAAAAATGCTTAAAGCACGTTACGTGTTTATAGTGTTTAATTTTAATATTTATGTTGGGTAAATAGAACAGGGAGGTGATTCTGCTTTGGGGTTTTTTGTTTGTTTTTTGTTTTTTTCCTTAAATTGAACAATTTGACTAAAAGCTTGAGGCTCGAATTACTTGGGAGAAAATGGGGACTTACCACAGTGATTTATCCCTTTATTCCAAAGTTCTTGAAGCTGGTAGCATTATTAATAACAGCTCCTGCTGTTAGTCATGCTATAAACACATCAAGAGCAATACAAGAATAAACCAAGCCGATTGCATTGGACTCTGTAAGTCAGTTTTCTTGTGGAATATTTTGTTGTTACTGTTAGGATCAGTTACATAGTCAGGGTGCAAGTCGGACAGACAACTTCTTTCAACAGTTCTGTGAACTCTTTCAAGCCATTTGGATGCTACAGTTTAATGGAGTGGTGATTTATGAAAAGGCATGCTAGGAGTCTGCAAAGATTGAAATGAAAGTTGCAAGGTGCCTTACCTACTCCCTAAAATAATTTACTGATTGACAAGAGCTGACTAGAAAATTGATGTTTTGAATATCAGAGATGCATTATAATAGAGATCTCGAAGTTCATGCTCAGGTGTGGCAGTCTTTAGGATGAGGGGTGGCAAAAGGCCAAGAACTGATGACTTCTCCAGCTGGTCAGAAATACCTGGGACAGATGTTACGGGCTGGGATATTTATTAGTGACATTTTTAATATTCAGGGAAAGCAGTGCAATCCAAGAGTGCTACACTTCAGTGACTGGGTAGAGATCCCTAATTAAGAAATTGTTAGACTTGTATTGAAGGTTTCATCAGTTTCCAGACACTTCCTATTATTTTATCAGTGTAAACTGTTGTCTTAGGCTCCAGCAAACATTGCTCCATTAACTCTGTATATTAAGAAGGAAAGGAGAAGGAAGAATATTTGACTGTATATGGACAAAAAGTTTAATTTTTCCTGAGAGTTATTTCCTGTCATTTATTGGTCATCTATTTGGAATCTGATTAAAATTGTATGATTAAAAACTAGTCACAGTGTATGTTCCATTTTCAAAGGAAAAAAATAAACCCTTCTAAAGAGCTGAATTTGAAAGGAAGAAATAAGGAATTTTAGAGTAGGGATGAACTCTTGAAAATTTCACCTTGTTTCTGAAATGTCTCTGGATTTTTTGGTGACTGTATTGAAATGGTATCAGTCATGAACCTGGGTTTTGGATCAGACAGGCCTGGGCCTGAGTTTCCCCACTTTCCCGCTAAAGGGCTGGGGCAGGTAAAGAAATCTGAGCTTTTTTTTTTAATCCAACAAAGAGTGATGATGATAATAGTGACTACTTCACAGAGGCTGGTTGAGGCCAAATGTGCACAAGTGAAGCACTGAGCACCGTGTTGGTGCACAGTGGGCGCTTACTAGTTGTTGTTGGTTAGTAGCTCTTTCAGGTGGGAGTTGTGTGGGAGGAAAGAAGCATTTAGTTTGGGGCATGCTGAGTTCATGTGAAGTGGATTTGAACTCAATTTTCAAGCCAGTCCTCTCAACACTCCATTATGCTCCCATTCCCACGTCATGTAGCCTATTGGCACCTACGCCGCGTAATCTACAAGCCTACTGGAGAAATTAACCAGTTCTCTAGAAACAGTGGTGTATTTCTTAAATCTGTCAAAATATATTGTACTGTGCAGTTTGGAGTGATTTATGGATTGATCAACCTTCTTGAACCTGATAATTTTATAGGCAATTAAAAAATGTCCATGATTACACTTCTTGAAGTCACAGAAATAACTAAAAACTATTAGCAATACATTTTTTTTTAGGAATAACATGGATAACTCAAAACAAAACAAAGCCTCACAATATTTCAAATAGTTTAAGAATCTGCTGATGAAATCATGGTTAGAAACTGCTGACTTAAATTAAGATGAATATATAGTCAAATAGAATGATTGTGGTTACCTTTTGCAATACTTTTATTTTAGTTTTAGTTGTACGTTCTGGGGCATATTGACCATAGTGATGAGCTCTTCATAAAATGAGTAGTTTCAGAATGTTTGTATTGCCACTCTAAATTAACTACCTGGGTTTAGAAAAGTGTAGGTTTTAAAGGATTACTGACAATACACTAGGTTTTTTTTTTTTTTGTCTTAAAAACTGAAATTTTAGAGTGAATAGAAAGACACTGCTCTTTGACAAAATTGGAAACAAGGCTTATGAAAATGACTTATGTCCTGGGTTTCATCCATTTATTTCATACCAGAATGTCTGCTAACATTAGGCATGTACTATCTATCTGCTAAGGCTGAGTGATGGACGGGTGGTTTTCAATCGGCCAGCTGGCATAGTCACAGACATGAATTATTTTAACTAATGCATTTTTTAAAATTTCACATACTAGAGAGATGTACCAAAAGACTGTGTTTTATGCATTATTTCAAACCGACAGCTACAGAAATTCTGTATGCAAGGATGTCTGAGGACTGCGAAGCACGTTTTCCTGTTGAGTTATTACATGACCACAATCCCTCTTCTTTGTTGTTTGTCAACTGAGGTGTCTCAACAAGATGAAAAACACCAGGGAAGAGGCAAGAGTAAAGGAAAATGCTAGAGACACAGAAAAACCATCGGTTTATGTTCCTTTCTATTGATAGGTTGGGAAGAGTGGTTTTAGAGTGCTCACACTACCCCTGTACACAGAGAATTTCACAATGAGTGTAATATACCTATTTGTACCATTTAAACAATGGAACATAGTTTACTTCATTCTGTGGCTGTGATTTATTTTCTGGAACTTGGCAACTTAGAAAAAGGTCA